ATTTAAAAAAAACAACAGTTGGCTGTATATATAAGAAAACAGCAAAGCAAGTTTGTAGAGAAAGAATCTGGGCCTTCTGGGTCAAATCAGTTTAAAACTTCAACATCCAAGCACTTCAGAGAGCCTCTTGATCGACCAAGTCAGCCAGCACTCTCTAATGCTAATGGAGTTTGGCCTTTGATGCGCATGCACTTACTGCCTATATAACTAGACGGTGAAATAATTCAAAGATTGAAACCGCCTCCCCTCTTTTATTTCTTTTTACAAGCATGTTTAAAATTTTGGCTCATAATTTGCTTGATTTAAAGTCAAACAATCTTGCCTAACGGCAGCGTGTTCTATACATAACCTTGCTCAGCTTTTCTCGTGCTGTTCCTGAATAACAGAGAATTGACAAGTCATTTATTACACTTTGGTGGCTGCCCATGGTCCTGTTTGAACTTGTGTCTGTTTGATGTTTGCTCACTGAGAGTGGAAACATTTGGTCACATGGCATTTTTTAATTTTCTAAAGCAAGTATGTGGGAAGGAGCCAGTTAATGCCAATATGGACTATTGGTCTTCAGTAATTGATTAAAGAGGACAGGTTAGTCTAAATTAATGAAAGAATATAGATCTTGATGGTTTGAAAGAAGCATGGAATAGCAGCCAGGCCTGGGATTGGCTTTTAGGGGTCTGTCTTTCTTTAACAGGCATGAATGTTTTGTGATTTGATGTTAGAAATGAGAGCATTTCAAAAGTGCTTCAGAAATTGTCAAAAATATTTTAAACATCCTTACCATTTGCACTGTTTTTGAAAGGGGTGTTGCATTGAAGAGGTCCTGCTGAAATGAATTAACTGTTATAATGATACTGAAATCTCTTTACTTCTTATCCTACTGGGCTACATTAACTGCATCTTCAATTTAATTCAAAATGTTCTTTAACCTAAATGTAATAATGTATCTATATTTAAAAATGTCTGTTACTGAAACCATTTTTTTCAATCTACCATCCACACTGCAGCAAGCAATTCTCCAAAATACCTATTAAAAGCCTCCTGGAGGTCTCATCAGCACCTGTATAAAACCCACATTCCTTACACAACAGCTGGAGCCCTTCACAACCTGGCCCTCCCATCCACCTGCTTCTCTAGCCCACGGGGACCCCTGGCCTGCCCACAGCCTTACCGGGCAGTTCGGAATTTCCCAACTGTGTGCTCCCTGCAGCCTGCTTGTGTTTTCATACCCCTCTCTCTCCAGCGTGACAGGCACTACTTTCATGTGGCTATGGGGTGCCCGCATGTGGCTGTGTACTCTTAAAGTGAAACAAAAATAAAAATTCAGTTCCTCAGTTGCACTGGTCACATTTCAAATTATCACTAGTCAGACATCATAGTGGCTATCATCTTGGACAGCACAGGTAGAGAACATTTCTATCAATGCAGAAAATTCTCGACTTTGGGCTCCTTGGGGGCGGGGGCTCAGACATTCAATGCTCCATCTCCAGTGTCCAGCAGAGTGTCCAGCACATGGCAGCTGCTCAAGTTTCTCTTGAACTAAACCAAACTGAAACCGGTGTGGGACTATTCAGAGAAGCTGGACCAGGGTGCGCCTGTCGTCAGAGATTGAGGCCTTCCCATGGTGTGCGATGGGAGGTGATGGGAATGTGCCTGGTACTCAAAGGGAAGGGAACCAAAACCAGCCCCGAAGCCACCTTTTATCTGGGCAGCATCTCCCCAGCCAACATTCTATTACTCTGCAGAGGGAGGGAATGGGTGGTAGGGCCAATTTGGGATGTCTGCCACCCTGGAACAAGCTGGGCTTAGGGGCAGCTTGGGTGAGAGCATGGAGCATTTTGGATGTTGGATTAAGAAGTTTGGACTTCATTTTGCTGGGACTGAGAGATGCTGGAAATTACTGAGTTAGGGAAGTGTTAAGACTATAGGAAGAGTCAGTGTTATTATTACAGCTCCTTAGGTTTTAGGTCCTGTGGGTTAATCCCTAGCCATTCTACATCCTTCACACATTTGGGAAGATAGAGGCCCCAGTGGAAGACCATTCGCCTTTTGGGCAGCCCAGACATGGTTGCTGTGTTCCAGCTGAAACGCCTCGTGTCCTAACCAAGACTTTGTCGGCCATGGTGTCTCGCTGTTCATTATTCACAAATAGACTTGACTTTGTTCAGGATTAAAGTTTACGTGCAAATCTGGGCCACAGAGAGGATGGCAGAGAACTTGCTGTGAGATTTCAGAACTGCCCCCCTTTCTCTGGAAAAATCCTCTCTAGGATTCTGTGTCAAGACCTGGTGAGAGAAAAATGAGTTTTCATGATGTAATCCATCTTTTAAGACACAGTCTTTATACATGGCATCAGAGGGGAAAGAAAGAAAGCAGAGAAAGAACAACCCTTTCGGATCAAAAGCATTACTCATAGGCATGGAAGTGTGAGGACAGAGCACGGAGTGGTGGCCATCCCTGACGCTGGGTTCCGGCTCACTGACTGGGTGCTCCACGCTGCACTCCCGAGTGGATGCCCTGTAATCCTGGGGACTTTCATTTCTCTAGTGCAGAGTTGAAGGACTTGGTGGGACCCCCTCCGTTGAGGTATCTTCTGGGTGTGTATCATCAGAGCAGATGGGTGAGCCCCCACACTTGGGACACATTATGATGTGATCATGGCCTTTCTAAAACCTTGGGCTTGAGAATTCTGCTTTCCGGGTTCTGCTGGTCTCCCATTCCTCCCTCGGTTCCCTCCTCCAGATGAAACCACCAGCGTGGCTTCCAGCGGCAGTGCAGTGCCATCTCCCCTCCCTGGTGCAAAAGCCCGGCAGCCCCCGGGTCTTGCTCTGCTGATCACCACCGTTACAGACCCCACTTCTGGGCTGTGACCCATCACAAGAGTGACTCCAGTCTATGAATACCCTTAGGTTGGTCACTCCGGGGAGACGTGCCATCACCACCATTTCCTAATCAAAGTCCTTGAGGTTCTTAAGCAACTTGCCAAAAGTCACAGAATTAAGGACCAGCAGTAGGTCTTTGAAGCCAAGCCCCTCAGATGGCTCCTGCCTGCCTCACTGAGTCACACTAACCCATCCTGGAGGGGAGGAAGGGAGTTTCAAGAGGAGGGAAGAGCATTAAATGGGAAGGTATGTTCCAGAAGATGCAAGTTACTCAGCACTGGGGCAGCAAAGTGATAGAGGCGTGGGGATGGCGTGGGGGCCAGGGCCAGGGGGTGGTGAGGGCTCAGTGGCCCCTCAGGGACTTATTCTCTGACAGGGAAGGAGCGTGTTGAAGCAGTGGGGAAGCTGCAGTCACGTTTTGTTTCAATCAGCTGGTTCACTCTGCAGTCTGGCGACGTGGAGATGGAGGATGGGCTTGCAGGCAGAGATGGCCGGGAGGGTGCCTGCCTCCATCTCTGTTAGCTGTGGGGTGAGGCCCGGGGAGTCACAGCCTTCTGCCTTTCAATTTTCTCATCTGTAAGAGTACTGGATAAAAAGTTTTCACCAACTTATTCACACTACAGGTCCTGCTTGTTTCATCTGCCCACCGCAGTAGGGAGAGTCCTTATTTCTGCGGGACTTGGCTATTATTTCCCTCACCCCACCCCTTTATAGTGGTAGCTAGCCAGGAACCCAAGGCCCCAGCAGGGGTATGCCCCCTGCCCCTCTGGTGCCCAGGGCTGAGTGAATTCTGGGGCAAGGCTTCCATTCTCACAGGCTTTAGGTTCTGGCTTTAGGAAATACTGCCCTCGGGTCTAGGGACCCAGGCTCAGGCCCCCAGCATCTTCCTCAGGCTCCATGCTCTTGGACCTCCTGTTTCTTGGCTCTTGGCTCCAAGAACCCCCCTGGACTCTGGAAGCTAAGAGAGCCCGATATCTGAGCGGTGCTTTGGAGGGGAGGGTGGTTATAAATATTTGGATTTTACTTTTTAAAGACATTTTTGTTGTTGTTGTTGGAAATGTATCAGGCACACAAGGGAACAACCCAAATACTGAAGAATAGAACTCCCAAGCCTCCCAGGCCAGCCTAGTCCACCCCAAGGTCAGCGCTCTCAGCCTGCCAGCCCACCTGCCCTTGAAGGTCTCTACTCTGGCGGGGTGCAAGTTTGCCTATCTGCTGGGCATTGGGTGGGAGGCCACCGCCCTGAGGCCTGGTGCCTCCCTGGCACTGGGAGCTCCTTAAGGTCGCCCCTGCCTAGATTTGTATCTGTCCTAAAAGGTGCACCTGATTCTGGTGGGAGATCAAGGGGAGCTCTTCCGTTTAACAATAGTGTTTTAAGAAAACCATGAATGTAGTGAAAAATTCAAACAGTACAATGCCCCACTCTCTCCCTAGACCCCGCGCCCCCCTCCCCCTTCGTTACCAACTCCCCAAGGGGCTTTCCGGAACTATCTGTGCCTGCCCAAGCATGCCTTGCGTCCGTAACAACTTTTAAAAAGAATCAGACGTGAATGATTACATTTTAAGTGTTACTGCTTTTTGCTTTTTAACTTAACAGTGGGTCAGGCGCTGGCTCTCTGCCAGCCCTGCGGGTGCCGCCTTCTGTGTGCGGCCGCACAGGGTCCGCGGTCACGGTCGCGCGTGCTGAGCACCGGGGGCAAGTCCAGAGGTGCTCGTCCTCCTCCCCGGGAGCTCGTGACCAGGGCCAGCGGGGCCGCGGCCGCCCAAGGTCTGAGCAGCGGCCCCTCCCGCTGCCGGGGCGGGTCTCCACCTTGGCAGTTTGCGGGAGCTTTTCCGGGCCCGCTGGCTCGGGGCGGCCGGAGGATCCCCGGCGCTGAGTCCCTTTTTAGTTTTAAGGTCTCGAGTGGCGATGACTGAACCCGCGAAAGGCGGATAAAGAGGACGCGTAGACCGGGAAACTGCGCCCCGCGAGAGGGCGGGTCCCGTCCTGCCACCCCCCCGCGGCCCCCGCCCGCCCGCCCGCCCGCCATCCGGCCGCCCCCTCTCGGGCGCCCGGCCAGGCCCCGGGGCGGCGCGTCACCGCCGCGAGGCCAATGGGCTGGGCCGCGCGGCCGCGCGCACTCGCACCGGCTCCCCGTCCCTCCCGCGCTCCTCCCGGCGCTGCTCTCCGGCCCTCGCCAGCGCGCCGCCGCCGTCGGAGCCGCCATGCAGCCCCCGCGCGCCTCGTTCCCGCTGCTGCTGCTGCTGCTGCTCGCGGCGCCCGTCTCGGCGCAGCTCCTTCGGGCCGGCCGCTCGGCGCCTGCCGCCGCCGAGTGTCCGGAGCGCTGCGAGCTCGCGCGCTGCGCCCCGCCGCCGGGACCCTGTGAGGGCGGCCGCGTCCGCGACGCGTGCGGCTGCTGCGAGGTGTGCGGCGCGCCCGAGGGAGCCGCGTGCGGCCTGCAGGAGGGCCCGTGCGGCGAGGGGCTGCAGTGCGTGGTGCCCTTCGGGGTGCCCGCCTCGGCCACCGTGCGGCGGCGCGCGCAGGCCGGCCTCTGTGTGTGCGCCAGCGGCGAGCCGGTGTGCGGCAGCGATGCCAACACCTACGCCAACCTGTGCCAGCTGCGCGCCGCCAGCCGCCGCTCCGAGAGGCTGCACCAGCCGCCGGTCATCGTCCTGCAGCGCGGCGCCTGCGGCCAAGGTACCAGCGGGAGGCGTCCCCAGGCCCGCGGCGCGCTGGGCTCCGGGGAGCTCCCCGGTCTCGCCCTCCGAGCGCTGGCCAGGCCCGGCGGCACGGCGGGAGCCGAAGGGCAGCTCAGCGGTGCGGGGTGTTGAGGGCACCCACTCGCTGGGAGAGGGCTTCCTCGGAACTAGGCTTTGCGCCCAGCACGGGGTGGGCTCCGCGCCCGGCGGGTGCTGGGAGCGCTCTGTCCCCGCAGCCCGGGGCCGGAGTGACGGGACATCCCGCCGCTGGCCAGCTGATGGGTGCCCCACGGGGAACCGCACAGCGCCGGGGAACGGGTACAAACAAGAGAGGAATGTGGGCATGAAGCGGAGAGAAGTTCTGGGGACTGGGTAATGGCCCCTGTGCTGAGCGAACCGGAACCATAGGGACCTCTGGGATCGGTGTCTGTCATTTCTCTTGCCTCTACTTCTCTGCATCCGCCTCCCCCTCCTCCCTTAAAATTAACCCAGCATTCATTTTATTGGGGACCCTGTCCGCTGAAACTTTATTTAGCTTTGTATTTGAAAGGACCGGAGTTGCCGGACCCGCTCCGGTTTCCCCAGGTGGTCTGTCCGGGCAGGCAGCCGGGTTAGCACCGCCGACGTTGCAGGAGCCTCGCTGCCTGCCTTGCTTCCCGTGTTTTGAGTCAACCCTACAAAAATAAAAGTGGCTCTTTTGGAAGAATCTGAACGGGACATTGAGTCATGAAATCTGCGGAGGCAGAAGGGGCAGGGGTTCGGGGTAGGGATGAAGCAGCAGCGTGCTCCTCCTTCTTTAAGCATCTTCTGTGTCAAGGAAACCGGTTCTGGCAGGGGGAGTGGTGGAGAAATGGTCTCGCCCGCGGGACCTTCCAGAGCGATGCTTCTCATCTGCAGGCAGAGAGCATGTGGGAAACAACCTCCGGGGTTCAGCTGTGGCCAGTCCAGCCGTGCAGGGCCGGGCCGCCGTGCTTGGCGGTGCCCTTGGCCGCCTGCTCACGGGGAAGTGCTTGGAGAGGGGAGAGGGGAGCCCAGCGGGAGGGGCCTGTCTAGATTTTATTCTGGTCCAGGACCACCAACTAGGGCTGGCACAACAGGGCTCACACGGCGAAGAAGGTGCCAGAGGGGTGTAGGAGAAATTGGAGGCTGTGTATTCCCACCCAGGGGCAGGAAGCCCAGCTTCCCTGCTCAGAAAAGAGCCTAATGCGGGGCTGGAGGAGAGTTAGGCCGGAGAGAAGTGATCTAACAGCGACAGAAGGATGGACATGAAGGAAAAACGGGTTGAGTGCCCACTCTGTGCCCCAGTCCGCGTCCCTGGTGTGCTGCACAGGCAACTTCATCTGCTTTCATGGACCCTGGAGGAGAATGCTTCTGCTACCGTCCTGTTTTACAGATAGAGACTGATGTGGAGTGATGTGCCCAAGGCCACTCAGCTGGAATTTGAACCCAGCGAGCCTTACGCAGAGCCAGCCCAGTGCTCAGCTGCCCAGGCCGAGGAACAGAGGTCAGGCAGGGTAAAGGAAGTTTCCAGAGTTCTGGGAAGTACATCCCAGGCAGAGTAGAGAACAGCCTGGGAAAGCCTGAGACCTGTTTGGGAGGTGGTGTACACACTGGCCAGACTGGGGACATTTGGGGAGGGCAACAGGAGTGACCCAGGCTGGTGGCGCAGAGTCCCAGAGTCGAGGCCCGGCTGTGCTGTGTACTCAGATGTTCTTGAACTGGGGCTTCATAAAGAAAGTCTGGCAGAGCCTGGCTGAGTGGTGGTGGCTTGTGGACCACAGGGGTGGGGAGTTAGGGCTGCCCCAAGAGTCTGGGTGTGAGGGGGTGGCTTTACAAAAGCATATTGCATATCGTTGTCAAAATCAAGCCAGCTGTTACTTTGTAGTCTTGAGGCGTGGGATCCTAAGTGGCCCAATTTGAGCCCCTGATTTATTACCAGAGAGGCAGAGTCGCTTAGTGAGCTTTGGTGTCGGGGAGAGTCATTAGTAGGCACTGGGGGGAGAGAAATAGGTCCTCTCCAGTTGTCCCTGAGGCCCACAGCAGGCTCCCCGGAGAGCCAGGCAGGGACAGCACAGAAGGATGAGTGTGCCTTGAAAGGAGAGACAGAGGGCGGGTGCTGGTCTCTCCCTTCCCTTCTGCTGCAGATATTTATTGAGCTCTGCAGTGTGTTCAGCGCTGTGTGTGCTTTGCCTGCCTGCCTCACCTATAAGAGGCTCCTGATGGATGAATGGAAATGTGAATGAATCAAGAAATAAGAGGGCTGGGGATACACGGCCATCCAGTCTTTCCTTAATGTAGAGCTGGGCTTTGCGTTTCCCTCTCCCCACATCTAACACTCTGCCCTTGGGAGGCCAACTCTTCCCGGAGGTACCTCTGAGGACAGGAGCCTGGCAGCCGAGACTTCATTCAGTGGAAGCCCAGCCCACGAGCGGGTCCCTTGACGTCATTGTTAAAGGGGGTGAATTGGCCGCCTGCTCTGGCTGAGACAGCTGGCAGGAGTGCTCTTTTAGCTAGGGTGGACCTTTTGGAGAAGGGTGCCCTTGGGCTGGAGGCCTGAAGTTGGAGTGGGCCGTGTGAGGATGTGGAGATGCAGCTCCCCTGACAGGAGCAGGCTGCACGGTTTCCATGGTCGTAAGGAGGGTTTGTCAGGCGCAGGGAGTGAGGGAAGAGAGGTAGGAAATTGCTTCAGACCGAGCAGCACTTGGGAGTCGCGGTGCATCTTTGAATAGAGGAATGTGTCACCGTTTAAAAGAAAGCACTTTTATTTGTAAACTGTTTAACGAAGACTTCAGAGAGTGTCTCTTATCATGGTTCTGGAAATGAAGGCAGATCATCTATTTCAGAAATCAGTGCGGCTGTCAGGGTTTGGATGGGAAAGTGTACAATTATTCTAGAGAACAAAAATCTGTCACCTTCCGCCATGTGCACTTTGGATTAGTTTAAAGCAAAAACTCTTTATGGTTAGGAGACTCCAAAATAGAAAGAAATTACAATTAATAATAGTATAATAAGGGCCAACATATGTTAGTGCTTATTCTGTGCCAGGTGTGCATTAACCCATTCGATCCTCCAAGCAGTCCTGGGAGGGTGTGCTGCAGTCTTCCCAAGGCTGCCCCTGGGAGACAGTCACCAAGCAGTTCCTTGCCCAGGACTTGAACCCGTGTATCTGGTCCAGAGCCCATTCATAATCACCATGCTGACCTGTTGACAGAGAAACTATGGTTGTAAGTCAACTAAGTTGCAGCAAACAGCTGGAATAAACAACGCTCCAGATGGCCATGGCCTTGCGATGCAGCACAGCACATGGTACAGCTTTCACTCCCCAGGCACTGGGGCCAGAGGACCTGCTTGGCCCCAGTTGCCATCAATGCAGCCCTTGCTGAAGAAAAGTAAAAGAGCTGAAGGGGTTGTAGTAAAAATGTTTTCAAACTGCTTTTGGGGAGAGAGAGGCCACTCTGGATTCCCAGACACTGCAGATGACTCGCCAGGAAGTGCAGCGCTGCAGATCTCTGCTAAAAATGTCCAAGAAGCTAGGCAAAAGGCCTGAACAAGTCTCCCCAGACGTTAGAAATCTAGTCCATTTCTCCTTTTACTGTATGCTTCTACTGCCCACCTTCCCCCAAACATAGTCCCGATGAACATGGACCTCTCCTGCCTGGTCTCTCCTGGACCTGATGAGGGAAGGCCTCCAAAGACGGAGGCTGGCCTCAGCTTCCTGGTGAAGAACCACTGATTTTGAAGTCTTTTGAACTGTTTATAAGGCTTTGCTCACTCTCTTTGGCTGTCTTCTTTTGTTCTCTGCTGGTCTTGCTAAAGAGTTAAAATATTAAGGTTTCATAAAATCAGTGAGTTAACAGTATCAAAAGCCAAGCATTTGAGTAACTTCATCCCATCCAGAAGAGCTGTAAATAGATTGCATTAGAGCTTAAAATAACTGTATTCAGTAAGCAATTAATGGGGGGGACGATGAGCTAACTGTGCTCAGACACCCGACAGCCTCAGGACCTCGGGGCTGGATTCTGAGTCCATTTGGAGCTGTGTGATCCTGGACTCAATTTCGTGCTTTGGATTGAGAAATCAGACTTTCCATGAGCTTATATTTCAAGTGAATAAATAGCTCTGGTCAGGCCTAATTTGAAGAAGAAATCAAGCTTGGCAGTGGTTGAGGGTTCCTTAGAAGGCCAGCTGGAGTGGAGGGGCTGGGGGGCTTGCAGCTGGCTCTGACCCTTCCTAGGCTGTTATCTGACCAGGTGACTGATCCCTGACCTTTCAGAGCTCAGCAAAGGGGAAATTAGACTGGATGATCTCTGAGGTTCCTTCTAGCTGGAAGGGTCTGTGATTCTTGTAAGAAAACCAGTCTCTGAAAAATTGTGCTCAACTCCTCCCTATTTTAAAGTCTGGGCTGACTTCTTTAAGAGTTATTTCTCTTTCTTAAATTATTGGTGGTTAAAGCCAAAGTTACCCTTGAATATATGTGGCCCATCTTGGGCTTGGTTGCCTTGTACGTCAGCTTTGTGCCAGCTGCTGAATGTCCCTGGGTGAGCGCTATGCTGACCTGCCCACCTCCAAGAGATGAGCTCCTCCAAACCTGGTGACCCTCACTGTCTCCCAGGGGTCCTGAGGCTGGGCTGCTTGGGTTCTCTGCAGGGAAATTCTTCCTGAGCCATTTCACCTTTCCTTCCCTACCTTCTCTGCCGTTAATTTTTTAAGAAAGAAGGAAAACTATTATCAACAGAGAAATGAGAAATTTCAAGTGCTTTTCCAAAAGGTTCCCAGAAGTGGCAGAAAAGCTAGTGTGATTCAGTGCGGCTGGGTGACGTGTATCTAGAGCCACCTATGGACACCAGCCAGTACAACACGCCACAGGACAGAAACGAGTGGCAATGAGAGGCCTGTTTATCGCTGCTGGAAGGGCACAGAGTGTGGCTGTTGGAATTAGTGATGAATTGTATTTCTAAGTTCATATAGAGCATTTCTTGAACACCTATTATGTACTCT